CTTAAGGTATGATTGGACATCCGGAGGTAGCTGATTCGATTGCATGTGATCAGGCAATCGAAAACTCACCTCTCTCATCGGTTACATGGGGCGTTTTATCCTCGATGCACTTCAAGCACTCACTGGACATCCGACTTATCTTCTGAAGCAACATGTACTGTAATTGTCATTTAAAGGCGCTACCGGTACCGAGAAGGGGGGCGGGGCGTCATCCATTTTTTCTAGCTAGATATGCATAACTACTTAACAGATAGTCTTTGCCACTATAAGCCTTTCCTCGCAATCGATGCTTGTCACTCAAGTCCTCAATTTCACTCACAACTAAGGTGCGGTTCCATGTTGCAGTCAATCTGTCTTCGGGTTGCCGTCGGATTTACACAGTAGGGTAGAACGGTTGAAATTACGGCCTTGAGGAATAATTTGAATACTGGTCTGCGTTTTCCTGTTGCTTCATTGCCTTGCATTTCCATTTCAAATGCTAAAACATTTTACATGATTTCTAGTGACACACAAGCAGATAGATTCGCTTATCCGCTTTTCAAAATTTTATCTCTTTTATGCATATTGAGATTACAGAAATTCTCATGCTCATTATTCGTGAAAAATGAACTTTTCAAATATAAGCCTCTTTATTACGGCGTTTTCAGTCGTTTCTTTTTCGTACCTCTTGGCACCTGCTTTTTTCCTCTGAAACGACGCTCGATCGGAACGTTTGGAATTCCTTTACGTTTTTGTGGGTGGTTTTCCGAGCCAAGTTCTGAATTTCTTTCATTACTCGCTTTCAGCATGAATTTTTTCCGAATGTCTCACTTTTTCTCTTCTTTGTCCTGTCTTCGTATTTTCGAACCTTCTTGACAGTCACTCTGTCGCTTTCCTCAGTGTAACGTTCTTTGTCCCGCCCTAAAATTTTGCATGTATAAATTAAGTTGTTGGACTCTTCAAAATTTTCTGTCGAGTGTAAAGACATTACCTCGTAGAAGACTTTCATGAGTAGGTAGAATTACTCTGCATTATTTGCAGGTGTCTGAACAGATCCTTCTTCGCCCCCCCCCACCCAGTGATGTTCACCCCCTTGCATCCATGCACCGCAGCTGCTCAAGTGCCATGGAGACATGGTCTGCTTGAATGGTATCCCAGGCCACT